ATTGTCTGCAAATATTTTTAAGTGAGTGTGAGTGACGTGACATGTGGCCAAGTATGGTGACCCATACTCGGAATTAGTGCTCTGCATTTAACCCATCCAAAATGCACACACACACCTTGAACACACACCCGGAGCAGTGGGCAGCCATTTTTGCTGCGGTGCACGGGGAGCTCAAGGGCACCTCAGTCGTGGTATTGAAGGTGGGAGAGAGCGCTGTACATTCACTCCCCCCACCTACAATCCCGGCCGGTACGAGACTCGAACCCGCAACCTTTGGGTTACAAGTCCGACTCTCTAACCATTAGGCCTCTAACCATTAGGCCACGACTTCCCCCTCTTCTTAAACGTCTTGTCGTTTGAGCTCCCATGTAGGCCCTGCAATAATGTGGTTTGACCAGTGTGGTGCTGTAGCGCAAGACTGTAATTCAGCCCTCATGCAATCCAATAGAAGAAGACACACATGGCTTTCATGTGGGAAGCAACCAGACGCTGATGTGAGTGACCTTTAGATGAATATGTAAATATGTGCTGCATGCATGGGCGTTGGAACCATTCTATATGGGTGGGACAAGACCCACCCACTTTTTAAGACCAATGATATTGGACCTACTTACTTTTACTGTTTGTAATTCTGCGTTTTAGCTACAGCTTTGACTTCCACACAGCTGCTTCCTCAAATCCATTCCACTTGGCTCATTCAGAGTCCATATAAATTAAACTACATTCCGTGTTTTCACTTCTCGCACCTGCTGCACTCCCGCGACACCAGTGGTGCCTGCAGGTGTACGGCTGTATGCACTACCATGAGTACCATGAGCGCTTCGGCTGACCTGACCTGTTCGTCTGCCCTGCAAATATTTCAGCAGTTATGATGTGAAAATTAAGAAAAACCAACAACCAAGGTTGCACTGTCGTTTAGTTCACACGCATCTATTAGATTGGCAGCTGCCTGGGGGTGGCAGGTTTTCGTAATTTACTCCCTCTCCAGTAAGCGTCGCGCCTGCCTGCCTGCCGATTGATGCCCGTGAGCAAACACCAAAATAAGTGCAACTCTACACTTATTTACCCATGTGCCACCTTTCCAAATATTTTATTCCGCTCTCTTAATCCACAATGGAGCGCGGGTCCTGTGGCACATAAGTGTCAGGCATGCCAGTGGCGCCTGCAGGTGTACGGCTGTACGCACTGTGCGTACCATGAGCGCTTCGGCTGACCTGACCTGTCCGTCTGCCCTGCAAATATTTCACCAATCATGATGTGTGTCCCGTATTTCTGTCAAGTGAACTAGCCATGCCACTAATTATGGATTAATCATTATTTTAAGTCATATGAATCATATGAAGCGTTCCTCCGTCAGTAAAACAAACAGTATCGAGATACTTAAGAACCTTTCCAAATATTTTATTCCGCTCTCTTAATCCACAATGGAGCGCGGGTCCTGTGGCACATAAGTGTCAGGCATGCCAGTGGCGCCTGCAGGTGTACGGCTGTACGCACTGTGCGTACCATGAGCGCTTCGGCTGACCTGACCTGTCGGTCTGCCCTGCAAATATTTCAGCTGTTGCGATGTGTGTTCCGTATTTCTGTTAAGTGAACTAGCCATGCCACTAATGATGGATTAATCATTATTTTGAGTCATATGAATCATATAAAGCATTCCTCAGTAAAACGCACAGTAGCCTATCGAGATACTTAAGAACACATATAACAAATAGCGCTGGATGAAGTAGACTCTAGAGTAGACGTTCAACTCTAAACGCAGTAAAACACGTTGTAAATGGAAACCTTTTACGCTCTCTAGAGCGCAAACACAAATGCGCACTGTTTACACGTAGTTTGCCAGATCTGTTTCACCAATGTTAGTATTACAGCTTCATCTTTAGCACCTCCGTAAAACTAGACCTGAAGGGAATTATTATAATATTATATATATATATATATATATATATTATAGAATTATATTATAATACAACATTAATAAATGTAAACCTATTAATGTATTTAGTATTAATACAAATTTCCCTCTAATATATGCCTTTGAGGCCTCCCATACAGACGCCAATCTATCAGTGCTTCTAATATTCAATTTAAAGAAAGAGGTCAGATCATCAGCCAACAATGTGCCAAAACATTCATCTTGTAATAATGCAGTATTTAAATGCCACCTTCCCTTTCTACCAACTTCTGTGTTTAGAGCTATATCCAATTCTACCGTTGCATGGTCTGATAACACTATAGCTCCAATTTTACAATCTACAACTTGATCAATAATAGAATTTGAAACCAAAAAAAAAATCTATCCTAGAGTGAGATTTATGGCAATGAGAGTAAAAAGTATACTCCCTTTCCGTTGGATTGACCAGGCGCCATATATCAGTCAATCCGATATCCTGTTAGCATATGAAGGGCAGCCCTATCCCTTGGTATAGAAGGTCCTTGATATATACTCTTATCCAAAACCCCATCCATAACCTGATTAAAGTCCCCTGCCAAAATTATTTGTCCCTCTTTGTCCCCAAGAATCTTGTTTATCTTATTAATAAAATCTGGATCTGCCTTATTTGGGGCATATACATTGCATAATATCACTTTAACTCCATTAATGAGAGTTTCTATACATATAATCCTGCCAGCATCGTCTTTAGCTTCCGTTAACATTAAAAAATTAAGCCTTGGACAAAAGCAACATCTACTTGTTTATGTTTGAGATATGACAGGACCTTTTTTCTTTTAATTGGGCTTCCGCATCCGTACTTGTTTATGTTTGAGATATGACAGGACCTTTTTTCTTTTAATTGGGCTTCCACATCCGTTAATATTCCATGTTATAAATCTGATGTGACTACCCATTTTTTAAAACAAATGAATCGCACATAATCGTGCGAGTAATCAAATGCCTTTGGTGACTGCCCCCTACTGGGGAATGACATAGACCGTGATGTACATTTTTTCAAGTTAAACAAACAGCAGTTGAACATTTCAAATACAAAAACTACCTTCTGTAACACCCTGTTGCTTAACGAAAAGCAATTAACCCCTCCCACGAACTTAACAACAGAAAAAATAAGAACAGTAAACAACAAAAAATGAACAGTCATACCAAACAATGAGGACCGTCTACGTTCAAACACCCCGAGATTGCGGTCCGTGAAGTGCCGAATCAGCTATCCAGCCTGGTCTCTGGCTGTCAAAACTGTTCTGAGACAGCACAGGTATTCGACTCCTCCTCCCACCCAATGCACCTGACCCATCAACTCCACTCGGCGATTTTGCAACAAACATTTGGTCCCTTTATCCTGGTGCCCCGCAAAGTTCTTTAATGAATTGCTCTGCATCCGCATTCGATGTAAACACCATATTCTTCCCTTGCCATGTGAAATGGAGTGAGGCTGGATATGACAGTGTGTATTTGACATTGACACTTCTCAGCATCCTCCGCAACGCAGTGAATTCCCTTCGTCTTCTGGCCAGCTCTTTTGATATGACGGTGAAGAAGGAAATCCTACATCCATCCCATTCGATCATTCCTTTTTCTCTGGCCGCTTGTAGTACTTTCTCCCTGGCTGAGAAACGCAGAAACTTAATCAGAACTATTCTTGGTGGTCGATCAGCATCGGGCCTAGGAGTGAAAGCGTGATGCGCCCTCTCAATCTCAAACTCTCCATCCGGATCAATTCCCAGTCCCTCCGATAGGATTTTATACACGCACTTGATCATTCCACCTGCCTCCAGCCCCTCTTTCAAACCGATCATCCTCACGTTGTTGCGGCGGCTCCTGTTTTCTAAATCCTCAATTCGATTCCACATAACTTCCAGGCGTTTATCGTGCCGTTCGCCATCACCAACGAGCTTCGAGGTGACATCTACCATGTTGGAGATGCGGCCCTCCGCATCGTCCAGCCTTTCTTGGATTGCGTTCACTGAGTTTTTGAGATCGGTGACAACCTCTTTGATTGATGACACATCTGTCGCCACCCCTTGTAAGGTAGAGTTCATTTTACTTATTTCGGATAATAAGTTTTCCATCTTTGAATCTTGATCTTTCCACTGGGGTGACGGCGACTCATGTGGCGGCGAGGTCTGTCTCGTTGTCATGCGGCTCGTCGAAATCCCCTTAAAATACTTAGATGTGGAGGTCGACATCTGCTATCTAAGGCACCTTTTTATTTCACAAATATTTATGCTCACCAGGGATGCTAGTTGTAATAAAAATGTGGAGTGAATACGCGCGGATAAATTGAAAATATTGGTGGGCCTACGGAGCTATACAACTATGCTGCCATCTTCTTCGGTGATCCCACGTGACTCCTGAGAGGCTAACTTTGAGAAAATGAAGCTGTGTCATGAATATGCGGTCATTCACCGACAGTAGGCTATTTTAAATTTCTTTTTTTTTCAATCGTGAATATCCACTTCATCAGCATTGTTTTGTTCTCTGTTGTTGTTTAACAGCTGTGAGCATGCTGATGGATGTATTGTATCATTTTGTTGATTTTTGCTGTTTTCGTGCCGTTTTTAAAAGGTTTAAAATGCGTGACACCTTTGTTCTGCTCAGTGTTCAATTCAATTCAAGTTTATTGTACAGCGCTTTTCATGATACAAATCGGTGCAAAGCAACTTTACAGCAAATTAAGTTCCTACAATATTTAGTGATAGCTTATCAGTGGTGACTGTCAGTTAATGTACATACAAACAAATTTACGGAAAAATCAATTAAAGACGTAATAAAACAGACGTCTTCTGCTACAGGTAACAACTCTTTCAGTAATTTAGTGGGTACAGGATCTAACAGGCATGTTGTTGGTTTAGATGCAGTGATAAGTTTATTTAGCTCTTCCTGTCCTATAGTTGTAAAGCACTGCAGTTTATCTTTTGGTGCGATGAATGAAGCTGAAGTATTATACGCTGTAGAATCTACATTTGTTATTGTATTTCTGATGTTATCTATTTTATCAGTGAAGAAATTCATAAAGTCGTTACTATTAAACTGTGAGGGAATATTTAAATCAGTGTTGCTGTCACTGATCGTTTGGTCGTCAAGTCTTAAAGACGCGTAATAGTTACATACTCACGATATTGAAGGGAATTGAACATTTAAGTGCTGTTTTTGACCAAAAAAAAAAAAGTCTGCGTACCCTCAGATGAAATCCAGCAGGCGCCCCTGTGCGACACAGCAAGCCAAACAAAGCATCTTAGCATATCTGCTGCTCGGGTGGGTCTGTGTGCTCACATATGGTCTCTAAACAAGCTGCTATTTAAATTAATCTTCATCAGTTGTTCGCCTGTTGCTTTTAAAGGCATCATATAGTCTTTGTTGCAGCACTGAATTACAGTTACACTTACACTATGTTGTTATAATGCTAACATACTCCAGTAAAATGTTTCTGGGGGAGGACCCACCCACATTTTTTTTGCTTCTGATGCCCATGGCTGCGTGCTTTCCTCTGAATAATGAAATAAACACAACAAAAATGACAGCGGTGAGAAAACAGCAGTTCAGAAAGCATCTGATCATAGCGATGTGATGTTTGCACCAGCTCTGCAGTCGGCCCTCCAGTTAAGTCACGTATATATAGCGATTTATACAATAGATTGATTTAAATCAAGCAGCTTTACAGTATTAAACATGAAAAACAGTGTCAAGTGTTGTTTTCATTTACAATTGCAACTTGATATTCTGTTATAAAGCAGCTCTCCAGTGTGAATCTTTTTATTAGTTATTGCAAAGAAGAAGAAAAAAAAATCATATTACATTAAAGTCACAGTTTGGTTTGCAGAGTTTAAAGCTTAATCTAGCTCAGGACTGTTTTGAGTATTATAACACTATAATGTATTATAAAGAGTGCTAATGTTGTGAATAAAATAATGTATCCAAAACTAAAATGTCTTATCACTTACCATTATTTTGTTCCATATCCGTATGACTTCAAAAAGAGATGTTAGACAGAATGATGAGTTACTTTTCATAGAGTTTAAATAGTGAATGAGAAAGTCTCTGTCCATCATCTCATTTTGTATGCCAAATATATTTATTTGTATTGTAAAAAATAACTGTATAATAATTGTAAATGTACAATAATAATACAATTGTTTGACGTTTTCAAAATCTGAAGTGATTACCTTGTTTATGTATTAGTTAGAATATGTGTAACTCAATATTTGAACTCATTGTAAAAGCTGAATAATCCATCAAACCTACTGATTAATCGGTGAAATAATTGGCGATTAGTTGTTCTAATAATCGTTAGATTAATCGATTATCAAAATAATTATTTGTTGCAGCCATAAACTCATTCCATAATTGATGAACTTTGCACAATTATTAAACTGAACTGAATCAACGATGAACTGCCTTTAACTGAAATATTGACTGTTTACTCTTGTCCACTTTCTAGAGCTGCTTTTCAGCAGAATTAAATTGTGCTTGCATTATCGTCACTATTTTCCTGTTTAATACTGTAACGCTGACTTGATACAGTCTGTATGGTATAAAGCGCTATAGAAATAAAGCTGACTTGACTTGTCTGTGTCTCAGAGTGAGCTGAGCAGGTTGACTCGAGCGCATCGTGAGCTGAAGGAGAGGTTTGAGGAGGAGCGCCGTCAGATGGAGGAGCTGCAGAGGAGACGCAGTGAGTTAGAGGAGCAGAGGAGGAGCCAGAACCGAGTGTTAGAGGGGCTGCAGGAGGAGGTGAGAGGAGACGCGCGACTCCCGTCTGATGGAGGAGTCGCTCTGATCTCACTCATTCTGTGTGTGTAGATGAGCGCGGCGGTGACGGGATCGGAGCAGGAGACGCAGAAGCTGCAGGAGGAGGTGGACGCGCTCAGAGATCAGAGCCAGAGAGAACTGGACACACTACACACACAGCTACACGACACACACACACAACTACAGACACACACTCACGCCACACTGGAGTACCAGAGAGAGGTGCGCGCACACACACACACACACACACACACACACACTGGCTCTGTTTGGTGTTCCTGTCATCATATTTGGTGTGTGTGTGTGTTCAGCGGTGTGTGTTGGAGGAGAAACTCTCTCGCTGCGAGTTTGATCTGAATGAGGCGGAACTGAAAACTCAGCAGCTGCAGAAGAGAATAAAAGAGCTGGAGGAGAAACAACAAACACATGACGACAGACACAGCAAACTCATGGAGGTACACACTCACACACACTCTCTCACATACACACTCTCTCACATACACACACACACTCACACACACACTCACTCACACACACACACAGTATTCTGAACTTTAGTCTCCAGTTGATTTCAGAAGATCATGTGTTTAAAGCATGTGTGTGTGTGTGTGTGTGTGTGTGTGTGTGTGTTTGTGTGTGTGTCCAGGTGCGAGTGTGTGAGCTGGAGCGGAGTGTGTTAGAGGAGCGCAGCAGCTCAGACACGCTCATGAAGAGACTGGAACGAGGACGAGAGCAGGTCTCACTCACACACACACACAGACAACATCTCTCAGCTTGAGTGTGTGTGTGTTTGATGTCTGCAGGTCATGGCAGAAACTTTGTGTGTGTGTGTGTGTGTGTGTGTAAGTAGGTCGTGATTGTGGTCAGTGTCTAATGGACTGTGTGTTTCTGACCCATTTAAAGCGCTCTAGTTCTTTATTTCTGGGCTTCATTCAGCTGTGTCTCATTAATTGGAGTCGCTCAGTTTGGTTCCAGTCAAACACAAAGAAAGCACAGACGCGCTCAGAATAACAGACACACACACAGACACACAGACACACACACACACACACACACACACACACACACACACACATCACGAGCAGTTTCATAAGGCCACAGATTAATGCATTCACATGAATAATGACAAGCACAGTTATGATACACGAATACTGTGGAGAGAACATGATGAATGCTCAATCCACAGAAATCAGTGTGTTGTATGTGTGTGTCAAGTAAAGTCAAGTCACCTTTATTTGTATAGTGCTTTATACAGTACTAGTTGTGTCAAAGCAGCTTTACAGTTTTAAACAGGGAAATAGTTTGTCAATAATATAAGATGACAATAACAGAGTCATTTTTCAGCTAAAGTCAGTTCATTGATGATTCAGTGATGCCATCATCCAGTTCAGCTCTCTTCTAATAGTGTCTGTGCAATCAGTCAAGTGTCCCCAACTAAGCAAGCCAAAGGCGTGTGTGTGATATATATATATATATATGTATATATATATGTCAGATGGAGCAGGTGAGAGCTGAAGTGCTGCAGGAACGAGCCGCTCGACACGAGCTGGAATGTGACAAGATCCGTCTGGAGCGACAGGTGAACGACTTCACTCACATATGTGACCCTGGACCACAAAACCAGTCATAAGGCTCAATTTTTCGAAATTGAGATTTCATGATACATAAAAAAAGTCTGAAAGCTGAATAAATAAGCTTTCCATTGATGTATGGTTTGTTAGGATAGGACAATATTTGGCTGAGATACAACTATTTGAAAATCTGGAATCTGAGGGTGCAGAAAACATCTAAATATTGAGAAAATCATCTTTAAAGTTGTTCAAATGAAGTTCTTCGCAATGCATATTACTAATCAGAAATTAAGTTTTGGTATATTTACAGTAGGACATTTACTAAATATCTTCATGGAACATGATCTTAATATCCTAATGATTTTTGGCATAAAAGAAAATTGTATAATTTTGACCCATACAATGTATTGTTGGCTATTGCTACAAATATACCCCAGCGACTGAAGACTGCTTTTGTGCTCCAGGGCCACATTTATGAATATAATTCATATAAATTCATTTTCATTTAGTAAATTCATTTAGTATAAAATCATGCATTTCATTGAAATATATAATACATCTCTCAGTTTTCCAAACAGGGCTTTATGAGTTAAAAATTAAATTGAATGTGAAAAAAAAAAGAATTAAACTGAAATCACAGTATATCTGTGTTGTGAGATTAACATGCATGCAGGAACACGAGGTGTGCTAAATTCACTTTATTTACACATTCACATGATATTCAACTTCTTTCTGAACTGATGTTTACAGCATTTCACCAATATTCTGCCAAAATTAAAGCCTGAAGATTTAAACTTTAAAAATTAAGAATTTAAGTAATTTTATAATGTAAAATAAAGTTATTATTATAATTATCATCAAATATTCATTTTGTATTTTACAAAAAAGTGCATGTGAATGTGTCAATAAATTATTGAAATATTAACATAAATCTCAGGGGACTTGAGGTGAATATTTTAGGTGTCGGGTTCGACTGAGAATAGAGTGTGGTATTCCGGGTTTGTTTTGAGCTCCTGGATCTGCTGTCCTGTAGAATAAGGATCTGCGGGGCCGCGTGGCGCAGCTGGAGGGATCTCAGCGCATCGGTCAGGACGCCGTCATCTCCAAACTGCAGCTGCACCTGCAGGAGCTGGAGGAGAGGCTGCTGGGAGAGGAGAGGTGAGGAGATGCAGCAGACACTCCTGATTCACAGCGTCTCCTCTGCTCTGATGCTGTGTTCTCTGTCTGCACTCAGAGAGAAGAGCGAGCTGCAGCAGCTGACCCGCAGACTGGAGCGCCGCATGAAGGAGCTGACGCTGCATCTGGAGGAGGAGAAGCTCTCGCTGCAGGACCAGAGAGATCAGGTGACCATCATCTGTCCTGTACTACAGAATCAGTGCTCCCGCCGAACATCAGAGCTGCTCTTTCCCCTCCCAGACCCAAACAACTGCAAATAATGAGGCCCTTCTTCAGGATTTTAGTCTTGCTTTTCACATTCATACAGTTTTGTCTAATCGCTAGGACGCGTTTCTCAACACTCGGGTCGGTTTTTTCCAAAACTCTTCTCCCAGTGAAGCACAACCGCATTTGTGTGGATAAACTGGATCATTTATCATTGCTTTGGCACAGAATGAATGAAAAAATCTTTCAATGACATGAACTCTTCTCATTCAAACTTTTCTCACCAAAACTCCGAACCTACAGACCAGTTTACATGCTCTTCGCAAAACTGACTAACTGTGTGTGTGTGTGTGTGTGTGTGTGTGTGT